GTAGTCATAGCCTTCTTCACTAGCGCCTCATTTGACTGGTTATCGGTGAAGCTCTAGGAGGCCACCTACCCATGCCCGGCCATCTTCGGCCTTTGCGTCCGTAAAGAAGGACAAGCCTAGGTCTCCGGAAGGAGGTCTCGACGGCTGTAGCCTGTCCCCTCCTTCCAACCTATCGGCCAGCCAACCGAAGATGACCCTTGACATGGCGGGTATCGTCATGGGACCCTGACGGCCCTGGATCGCGCATGACCAGGCGTATAGCGGCCCTGTTTAGATCGCGGCGAATCCTAGCCTGCCCAAGCGGCTAGCGACTCCAGGTCATCGGCGTACAGGAGCAAGTCTATCGTCGCCCTGACTCCACATGCCGCTACGCGGGTCCACCAATAGCTGGCTCAGTTCACGCCAAAGTTTGCCCACGTTGTTGATGTACACGCAGGAGTCGTCTAGCTGGCCCTCAGGGCCATCTCGGGAATCTAGCTGGCAAGCCAGAAACCCATGCTCCTTAGCCAGGTGCTTGAAGCGCGAGCCTTCTTGATATCGCCCTTCTCTCTCCTTCCTCTCCATCGCTTCCAGGAGCAACTGCTTCTTCTCTCGGGCCGCTGGGGCCCTCAGCTTGTCTCGGCATTTTATCCGGTGATTGACTCTCACCCCATGAGTAGCGTCATGGATGAGACGCTTCTTGTCTTTCTCCTCATCCTCGACTATCACCGCCAGCGCGGCTATCGCCGTGTTGTCTCCAAAACACTCCTTGAAGGTCTCGGGCTCATCTTCTCCATGAGCCCCTCTTGCGGATCCATAGTTATAGGGACCCACGCTAGCGCCGGCTCCCGCCACTTCTCTTGCGGCTCGAACACATGCAGTCTCGGCCTGAGCAAGAAGTCTCTATCGCAGTCTGCCCCTATCAACCTTACCGCCAAGTCTTGGGCCTCTATCCAGCTCCCCATTGTCTTGACCAGCTCCTTGATGAAGCGCTGGTCTCTGACTAGCCGGTAGCCATCCTCTCCTCTAGCTGCCACGCCACGCCGCCAGCCCTTGTCATTATCCGCCAGATTCCTTCTTCGGGGAGCAAAGGCCTCCCCCATCATGGAATTTTCTCAGACCTCCTGGCAGGTCGCATACTCTCGGTGGCCCAAAACCACCTCGACCCTTCCAGCTCACATATCGGAAGGTGTCCACTATCTTCTCAGCAGCCTCGCCTGAGGTCTCGTTCTTCTCCTTGCACTGGGTATCGGGCTCACCCTGCGGAGCTGTCGTAGCAGATCCATTGACACATCTTAGCGGGCCACATCTCGGCCAATAAGGTCTTGAACGGACCATGTGATTGCCTGCCCCTTATCGACCCCATCCCTTTTGCATAGGTAACGGGCCCAAGTAAAACCCCTTATCATCAAAGGAGGGGGCCCCAAATAGCAAAAGAAGGGAGTTGGAAGCCACCCCTAGCTAAGATAAGCAAGCGCGTAGGCTTGGGATATCCGGACCCCAAATTGCCCTGGTGAAAAGTATTGTAGCGGAAGCAAATGGGCTTGTTATCGGGCGTCCGGGAGGA